CCCCCCGTCTCCATAGTTTCCCACATATACTCTTGGGCATCGGCATGTGCTTGTGTCTGTGTGGTTTTGTTCCCCATCCTGATCTTTTCGTTGCGCGGGCTCCGGAGAGCCACCCCAATGGCCGCTTTTTCGTCCTGCGCCGATCTCGGACGGTCCCGGGGCCCGAAGGCTCTTTGAAGACACGTAAAAGACCTCGTGTCCAACGCAACCACCAAACTTTTTGTGACGCGTTTCTGCTGAGAGGACATCCGGATGTAGAAAAGATTGCCGGATCCTTTCTAAGTGTAACAGATTCTCGTGATGTGTTAACGCATTGGCTACGTATGCAGACGTCGTGGCGGGCGGAGGCCGAAGAAAGGCGGAAACCGGCCACTCCACATGTTGTCTTGCTCGGAGCCTCGAGGGTCTCTTTGGCGGCGCGCACGAGGGGGTTGTAGGGGGAGAGAGGGGGGGGAAGGGGGGAGAGGGGGGGGGGGAAAGGCCTCTCGGAAGGAGGCTGCTTCTTGGAGGGCGCCGGCCCTGCAGCTACAGACAGGGGCCCAGGCCTTCGAAGGAGCAGGGGTGCTTCGTGAGACGCCTTCCCCCCCACCCTGCCAGTAAGTCGGGCATGTCCCCCTACATGCGGATTTCGGGCGAAGCGGTCAAAAAGTGACCAAAAATAATCAAAAATGGTACAATTTCGTCCCCAAACTATTTTTTTGCTATGTTTGAATATTCCCGCTGTAGAGGGACACGCCCGATTTACCCCGCCCCTGCCCCCCTCTGCCAGGATCGATCGGCATCGAACGGGAACACCAGATCGCATCGGCATCTGCGCCGCACGTCGGCAGGGATGCAAGGGCACTTTTGAGAGGGCTGCCCCTCCTCGCCCTGCGGGTGGACCGTCTCTCGCACCGCACCGCTCGAGGCTCGGCAAGGGGGCCCTTGGTCAGGGCTGCGCGTGGCCGCGCTCGCCTGGGCTCTGGAGGCCGCCGCACGTTTGTGACCGTCCTTGAGCACTCCTCCCGTAGAGGGGCGTGCCCGACTCTGAAAGAGACAAGTGGCCGAAGGCGATCTCTCGAACCGCACCGAGCGAAAGCCGAAAGGGGCCCCGTAGGGCTGCGCGTGGCCGAGCTCTGGGCCCTGTAGGACCGGGCTTTCGTCCTGAGTCGTAGTTTTTAAGGGCCTCCCGAGGGCCGCTGAGGGCCCCCCGAGGGCCGACAAAGATGGCGAAACAAACCTCCCGGCGCGATGATCCTCTCTCGGACCGCGATAAGGGGGTCTGGGCCGCGAGGGGCCCGTCAGGGGCTGCGCGCGGGGCCGAGCTCCCCCATGGGCCTGGAGGCTGCCGTTCTGCGCGGGCGGCCCGGCGCCCGGGGCCGCCCCGCCCGCGGCGGGGGCGCCGGGCGCGGCGCCGCGGTCCCGCAGGAGCGCGGCCGCCCGCGGCGCCGCCAGGGCGAGGAGGGCGAGGGCGCGCGGCGCCGGGGCCATGGCGCGCGGCTCGGGGGCGCTGCAGAGGCGGATTCCAGCGAGCGCAGGGGGCGACAAAGCGACGTCGAGGGCGAGCTCGGGCCACGAGAGAATCAGCAGCAGCACGGCCTGTGTGAGAGACGGGGAGCCCGGGCGAGGACAAGCGTGGCAGGGGGCGGCCCCTCGGCGCGGACGTCGGGGGCTATATAGACACGAGGGCGAGCTCGGGCCACGAAACAGCAGCACAGCTTCTGCGACGAGGCCAGGACGAGGACCCACTCGGGCACGGATAGATCCCAGACTCTCTGAGGTCCGGAGGATCTGGGGGATGTATCGGGCGCCGCGGCCTTCTCAGAGCCTTCTCAGAGCGCTCTGGAACGGATTCATCATCGTCTTAGCCCCGTCCGACGAGAACCAATCCAGATCTCCGATGTTGGCATGCGGAGTGTGAAGGGCCATGAGGACCCTGGGGGAGAGGGGGGGGGGCCAGCTCGAAGCGTTCCTCCTGAGGCGTTTTTGCTGACAGTCCCGGGGCCCAGGAAGGGCCCCAGGAGGTCGAGGACAGCGCACGACGTCAGGACGCCTGCTCCTCAGGACCCCTTTTTCTTCCCGACGGCGAGGCCGTCTTTTGCTCTCGTTCCACAAAACGGCTTGCCTGAGGGGTTCTTGCTTTTGGTTTAAAGTTAGCACCTCGGGATGTTACTTTGCCCGTTCCTCGGAGATGCCTTCCTTTCCTTCCTGCCAGCGATACCTTCCTTTTTCAATTTCCCGAATTGGGTTTGCCTGGGGGGTTCTTACTTGGTTAAAAGGTTGGTGCCTCGCGATGCTACGTTGCCCGTTCCTCGCACATGCCGTCCTTTTCTTCCTGGCAGCGATGCCTTCATTTTCTCATTTTCCCCAAATCGGCTTGCCTGAGGGGTTCCTACTTGGTTGAAGGTTGGTGCCTCGGAATGTTACTGTGCCCGTTCCTGGGAGGTGCCTTGTACCAGACCACCCCAACCCAACCCGAAGACCCGAATCTCGGGTTGGGGGGGTACGGGCTTCGTATGTGTTTTTCCATGCTCTCCGACCCCCCCCAGCCCCGCACTGGAAATGGAGGGCAAATCGGGGCCTCTGGGTTGGGTTGGGGGTGGTTTGGTGGGCAGTGATATGTTCCTTCCTGGCAGCGATGCCTTTTCCCTTTTTTCTTTTTGCGGGTTCTGGAGCCGCCTCGGAGATGCCTTCTTTTCCTTCCGGGCAAGACGTGGGCGATGCATCGGCGACGTCGGCGCGGAGCGAATCGAGCTCCACGTCGAGCCGCATCCCCGATGCATCGCCGATGCACCGGCGATGCGGCGCGATCCTCCGACCCCATCTACTCGGGCCCCATCGAGGAGGCCTAGAAACTTGCACGCTCCTCGGAGATGCCGTCCTGTGCCTTCCTCGCAGCGATGCCGTTGTTCTGTTCTCCTTTTTTGGTCCGAGCCGCCGACCCCATCTATACTCGGGCCCCATCGAGGAGGCCCAGAACTCTGCCCGCTCCTCGGAGGTGCCGTCCTTCTCCTTCCTGGCAGCGCTGCCTCCTTTTCTTCTCTCTCTTCTCTTGACTCTCGAGACGCCGGCCCCCCGGACCGCTCGACCTGTGGCCGATGTGGCGGCGCGCCACCTGGGGCGCGGGCCCCCCGCCGCGCGGGCCGCCGGCGCGGGTCAGAAGCGCTGCGCGGGAGGGGCGGGGGAGAGCTGGCCGGCCAGGGAGCCCCCTGCTCCTCCTCCTCCTCCTCCTCCTCCTCCTCCTCCTCCTCCTCCTCCTCTCCTCCTCCTCCTCCTCCTCCTCCTCCTCCTCCTCCTCCTCCTCCTCCTCCTCCTCCTCCTCCTCCTCCTCCTCCTCTTCCTCATCCTCCTCCTCCTGCTCCTGCTCCTCCTCCTCCTGCTCCTCGCCAGCCAGAAAGCGTCCTCCGAAAAGGGGGGAGGGGGGCGGCCGTGCGTGGGGGGGGGGGGGAGAGCCGCAGGGGGCGACGAGGGGGGGGGACCCCTCGGCGGCGACGGCGGCAACGCACCGGCGCCGTCGGCGCGGGGACGGTCTCCACATCGAGCCGCGTCGGCGATGCATCGGCGATGCGGAGCGATCCTCCGACCCCATCTGCTCGGACCCCATCTGGCAGCCCTCGCGCCTTCTCTGAGAGAAGTGTGCTGCGACTCCACGGGGGAAGGAAGGCCCAGAGCACTGCTCGGAAGGCCCGGGGACGTCCGAGCCTTCGGAGCGGGGCTCGCCGCCGAGAGAGGGCGGCCTCGCGCGGCGGCTTACGAAGGCCGCCCGCGCAGCACACCGTGAGGAGAGGAGGGCGCCCGCGCGCGACCTCACGCGGGCCGCCTGCGCGAGGCCGGCCGCGCCTGTGCCCGCCGCTCACGTGGCATGGCGGGCCCCTGGCGCGCCCGGAGCGGCGGCCCCTCAGCGCTGCTCCAGGATAGGCGGCGCGCCGGGGGAGGAGGCGAGGAGGGGCGGGCCTGCTCAGAAGGCTCTCGGAGAGTCCCGCGGCCTTGTGAGGAGTTGTCCGAGCCTGCCCCGAAGGCACGGCAAGCTCCTCTCAGAGAAGGCCGGGGGGCTTCCGAGAGGCCCCGCCGCCTCCCGAGAGGCCCCGCCGCCTTCCGGGGAGGCCTTCTCCTTCTCGCTTGCCCCCCCCCCCTACGCCCGCCGCCGACAGGAGGCTGGAGACGCACGCGGCTGGCTTCACGCCTGCGAGGCGCGCGGAGCCCGCGGAGCCCGCGTGCGCGCGTGCGGCGGCCGGGACGGGCGGCCGCGGCCACACGAGGCCGGGCGCTGGAGAGACTCGCGGCCACACGTCGCGTCCACCTCGCACCCAGGCAGGCCGCACCATGTGAGATACGCGCAAGAAGAGCTTACTCGGCGGCTTGCGCGGATGGGCCAGCGCGGCACGCTGCATGGAAGACGAGGGCGCTCGCGCGCGACCTCCCGCGGGCAGCTGACGCGCCCCTGTCGGCGCAGACCACCCCGCTTCTGTGCGCGTCGCTCATGTGTATATCCGGCTTCCGGGCATGCCTGGGAAGTGTGCAGCCTCCGTTCCGTGGGCGCGGGCCTGGCTTCCAGGCAAGAATCCCACGTACCCAGCCGGGCCCGAAGCAGCCCTGGCAGCCATTCCGGGGAAGCAGCAGAAGCGCGCCCAGCACCCAGGAAGGGAAGCACTGGGCCCCTTGCCTCACAACAGGCCCCTCCCTCACGAGGCCACAACATCTGCACCGCTCTCGCGCCAGGGGCAAGAAGAACCCCCCCCCCCCGTCGGCCCACGGAAGGGGCCGCCCAAGGGACTCCCGTGGCCGGCCCGAAGGGAGGAGCTGGCGGGCCCACCGGCGCCGGGCGTGCGGGCGCCCCGGACTCCGGCAGGCCCGGGGCGGAGCTCACTGGGCGGCGCCGCCCGCCCAGGGGGCCTCCGCGGAGCCGACCCGGCGCAGGGTCACGTTGAAGAGCAGCACGTCGTCCGGAGGGAACTCCTATACATAGAGGCAGCAGGGCCCCTTGGCACCACCACCGCCAGGCACCGCCATGCACCGCCCTG